ACAAGCTCGGGTATGAACTACTTAAGCCTAGGCGAGGGTTCTGCTACGTCGGACGCACATTGGCGGGAAGCTGCACGGCACATTAACCGCACACAGAAGACCCGTAAGGTCTCTTCTTCAAGCGTTAACACTGTCACCCTACCCTGCAGAGCCCTAACACACTCACTTCCTTGCAATGCATTCGCACTCATGCACAAATTATTGACATGCTGCATGCTACATCCTCCAACTGTTGCTCTCTCACTTTTGCTGGGCGTGCTTACAGCACACGCTCACGCTGTCTCCATTCCCAGTGCAGCATTTTTCTGCACTGTCGACATGCTCGAGGGCTACTTTGCCCATCCAACGTCCAAGGGAAGCCCGATCGGGCTGTGCAACCTTGGACATGTCTTGCGAGAGTTAAAGCGAGACGGGCTGCTCCAATGTCGCAGATTCGTGGCACAGAATCAAGCTCGGTGTGGCGAGCCCGAACAGACTCAAGGGGTGCATCGAATTCCTGAATCCTAAACCCTAAGGTTTTGGGTTTGGGGTTTTCCGGGTTGCCCTCTGGCTTCGTCTGTCAGACGTCTGGTTTTTTCTTCCGAAGTGTTGTTCAACTAAAAAATACTTACTTTCTTTAACTGCCGTGATTACTGTCATGGTCAACATGAGGGTTTCTAGAAGGGCTATGATTACTGTAAGGGTTACAGTGAAGCGCGTCTACTTCAACGCCTCGTCGGGTTGGAACCACATTTGCAGCTGCAGAGCATCGCCGCATCCCCCGAAGCCATCAGCCTGCATCTTCGGGCGGTCGAAAGTGTAGAGGCCGCAGAGACCTGGGCCAGAGGCATAAAACGTAGTCTCGGCTGAGCTCTTGCCTTTCCAGCTATCAGAGGCGTTCTTGATATTGAAAACCGTGAAGCGATGCATCCAGTCCTTCCAGTATCCCACGTCCAGTCCGCAAATCTTCCCCTGGAAGTACTTCTCTGGCATCTCTTCTCCGCCGGTGTTGTGCTCCGGCAGGGGGACAAAGCCTCGACCGACGAAGTTCAGCTGGTCGATCTGATCCCCGCGGCGCCCGGCGATCGAGTGAATAGGGCCGTGATCCCTGCTTTTTATGCTTGCATAGACCCATTTCTCTAGACCGTGGTGTTTCAAGTCCATCTGGTTGTTGCCAGTAAGCCATCCAGACAACGTTGGCAGCTGAAGGAACACCGGCAGTGGATCAGGTATCAATTTGCTGGTCTCTTCTCCGGGGATCAAACGACGGATGTAAGGATAAGTTGAGATCATCGGGACGAACTCTTCGATGAACATTTGCTGCAGGTGGCGTTCCTTAACCTGCTCCTTAAACCTGTCCGTGAGTATACCATAGGGCCAGTCATCATTAGCTGCCTCCTCTGTCTTCCATGTTTGCTCGAAGCCTGTGAGCTTGTCAATCAACGTTACAGATGCCCGGGTGAAGTAGGTGCGTCGGCGTATAGAACGACTGGAGCGATGTCTCCACTGCTTGATTTCGAGTCGGTCCTTTCGCCACTTCTTCCAGTCATCCATAATGTTTTTGGCTGTCACATCGAGAAATTTCATCTGATCCTTCATGGCTTCCAAGACATCCTCGGAGACTTTCTTGGACTCGGGTTCGAACGCCTCCTTCTCGAGGCGGACGTTGTAGAGCTGCCGCCACAGGGTCATGAGAGACCAAGCGCTGGCCTGGAACTCCGGAGCCATCTCCTGTTTGTACCCGGTGGTCGCGATCTTGTTTACGATTGCCCTTGCAGCAGTCTTGGCCGTTGTATGCTTGCCGAGGCATTCGAAAAACAAGCTTTCTGGAAATGGGACCGGCGGCTCTGACCCGCGATGACGCGAAGCCGTGGGAAGGCGCCCTGGCAGGTCCTCCTCCGCATCCTCCAGATAATATGGGGGGTCCTCCAGATAATATGGGTCCTCCACCTCGTGCCTCTGCTTCTTATCTTAGCCTTGCCGATCTCCTCCTTCAAGCTGGCCATGCACTTGTTCAGCTCACCTGTTGCGTCCTCAAGATCACACATCTTCTCGACGATGTCATTTTTGAGCTCTGCAGCGATGGCGCGCTGCACATACTGCTCGGTCCACTCCATCATGAGCTTCATGACGGAATACTCCTTCCACAAGGGCGGTGGGAAGAAAGCTTCCCAGAGACTGCCCAGGATCTCAGACCAGAACCCGCTGATGGCAGCTTTGAGAGCGATGGCTCCGACCTTTTTTACCTGGTTCTGCATGCCCTGGTAGAACCATTCCTTCGCCCAGCGCTTCCTAGCATCGTCCACCTCGCTACCAACGCTGCTGTTGGAGACACTGACGACCTCCCGCGGCGGGATGGGGCTCTTCGGCAGGATCCTCTTCACACATGCCAAGAACCTGTCTGTGTCGGGCTGGACCAGAGGTCGAGGGGGCTGTGCGAGGGCACATGACTCCTCCGAATCTTCTGGGTGGGTGGCTATCGCACCAGCTGCAAGGAACAACAGCCAGAGACAACGAAGTGGCGCCATTTTTGAAACCTTTCCGACACGACGGTGGCTCAAGGCGCTCCAACAAGTCCTAACTTGTGCAAAGAACATTAAACACTAAGTCACTAGGTGCGAGACTCTCTCTTGCTTGAGCCAAAATGGCAGTTTATGGGTGTTGCCATTGCACTGTCATGCTTGGACATTGAGCCTCCGGCTTTGATGTCCCAAGCTGGGTTCATGGACCTGCGCAGAGGCATCTTCCGCAGCAGGCCGTCTCCGCTATTGCAGGGGCCTCCATGTCTCGATACATAGTTGCCGGAACTCGCTCAAGTCCTGGATGCCCTTATCCCAGAAAGACCAGACCACCCTGGCGCAGATTCGGCGTCCACGAAGCAGGGCTTACGAGGCTCAAGGTTTGTTCCTGAATTTGCTTCGGCGATACTACGGGTACCGAAACGCCCTGCAAAGTCATCTTTTGAATTCTGTTGAAATGCAACCATAGCCCCAACAAAAAAATCCTAGGCCCCCCTAAACCCTCTTTTTTTGCATCTGGTTTGCAGCAACCCTCTAAACCCTAAAACCTCATGTCGTCTGCCCAGTGCTGCCTGGCCAGCAGCTGGCCGGACTTCCCGAGGTCTGCCGTGCTATGACGACGGCTTCTGCCCGTCCCGAACCCTTCGGGCAGTTCTTTAAATTAGGGTCCCTTTTTAGATCCCAACTATTGGACGGCACCCTTACAAAAAGGACCCTAAAAGGGATACGAGTTTAGAGAACTACCCCGTAGTTCAGAATTTAATCTACAGTAAGGAAAAACACGAATTACCCTAGGTAAGCCTCGATGCACTTAAGCCCAGTCCAGTCCTGTTGCGGGGCACCCTTTTATGGTTCGGTTCGCATGTCTCGAGAAACATGCGAATCCTAGAATACCTATAAATTTATCGACGCCCTCTTCTCCCTGAGCCAGCTCCCTGCGAAACTCGATGCAAAAAGCCTGGAGAATCGAACGTCGAAATTCCTCAATCTTAAACCCGTTCATCCCAAACACCCTAAATCCCTACACCCCAAATCCCCTAAACACCAAATCCCCTAAACACCCCAAATCCCATAAACACCCCAAATCCCCAAAACCTCAACCCTAAAATCCCCTACGCTCCAGCCCCCCGGCCAGAAAGGAGGCCTCGGCAACTCTGCTCGGCCCAACACCTGGCCAGAGCGGAGGCGCAGCCATGGGGAGCCTGTCCCGTGTATGTCAGGAAAAGCTTCATTTCAATGGGGGTTTCTCATGATTTTATAAATGTTATAGGTTTTTCATGCAGGCTTAAGTTGCTTTAGGCTTCAGAAGCCCTTGCTTCTGAGTTTGGGCGTTCATCGCCAGAAGATTTGGATTGGGGCTGGATCCGAAAGATGTCTGCAGCCTTTCATGCCTATGTCTGGGTGTCGCAGGACATACACACTCAAGGAGACAGGGCTCTACGTCCCAATTCTACCCTACTAAGTCTGTGTTTTTGTGCGTTTAGAACTATCGGGCTGCAAATGGCTTGATAGACAATCCAGGCCCTATCGGAAGCAGAAAGCACAGAGGACGGGTCGGGAAAATGATGTTACAACTACATAGAGACAAAAACAAGCAGTAGTGCACACCCGTTGGGTAGGGCCAGGAATTCGGAAACTGTTAGTTATGGATTCAGGGATTAAGGCTCAAACGGCGTTAAGTTCGGAAGCTCTAGCTGACTCTTGCCACTAAGAAGCCATACAGTTTGAGGTCTGGTGCCGAGTTCAGTCTGCCACCGTCTGCCTTGCTCCATGCGCCCGTCATGGCGGTTGCTGCGCGGAGCGCTGCACCGGACATGCCAAGCCAGGTCGGGTAAGTGGGTCCAAGTGCTCGCAGTTCAAGGTGGAGTTTCAACTTCAAGCCTGAAAAGAAAAATATCCAGCGGGCCAGCGGGCTCCAGGTTTGGGCGCGTGGGCTTATGAGGTACGAAGCGAAAGATGTAAAACTGCAGTCCTGTTGATGAAGATGCAAAGGTTTGCTGCATGGCCTGCATAACGAAACAGCTTGATAGCGTTGAGGCTCATGATGCCTGAAGACGACGGTCTGGTATGCAATCCCTCCCCAGTCTCTTGAGCGACTACAGCTCCCAGCTCGAGAAGAATCATTTCATGTGGACAGGCCCCCGCGTGGGCTTAAAGCTTGAGACCTGCGCTTCACTCCATGACCACAACACCAGATTCACTGAACCCGCAAGAGAGGATCCAAGTTGAATAAAGGCAATGCCCAGAACTTCGTGGGAAAAAATGGGCACCCCACAGGGTGCAAGCCAGGGCGAAAAGCTTCTCGGTGATCACAGTCACGAAACCATCCGCCTCCAGGACCTTCGTGGAATGCAAGAAAAAAGCATGAGAGCCTTTATTTTTGTTGTGCTCCTTGGGAGCTCTGACTCCCCTAAGACTTTAAGAGACGTGGTGTTACTGTATAAGGTTCAATGGCATACTGTAACGGAACCTTATACGTGGTCTTAAGCATGGAACGAAGGGCGAGCGACGCCTCACTAACAACAACAACAACAACAACCAACAACCAACAACCAACAACCAACAAACAACAAACAACAAACAACAAACAACAAACAACAAATAACACATAACAAACAACAAACAACAAACAACAAACAACAAACAACAAACAACAACCAACAACCAACAACCAACAACCAACAACCAACAACCAACAACCAACAACCAACAACCAACAACAACAACAACAACAACGACAACACAGAGTACACATGACACAGAACACACAA